GGCTCGAGTGAGCAGGTGAGCCGCTAATTACTGTGAACCGCCTGGATGTGCTGAGCGCGAGGGCCAAAGCGCCGGATGCAGCTCTGGCTGTGGTCTTCAGTCCGCACGCTTCCTGTAGACCGCCTGTGCGGGTGGGGACGAGGGGCGCCCTGGAGTCATTTCACATCTCTTCACCGGCCTCTCAACTCGGCCATGGGCGCTCGCCCAGCGCCCAGATTGGCAGTAGATTGCTGGCAGCCGCCCCAGATATTGTCCCTCCAGCTGCTCTGTCGCCGTCGGTACATTTCCTCTTGGTCCGAGCCGCGCCTCATTGGCCGCTGCCCCGCGATACACGGGACCCCCAGCTGCATGCGTGACGGTGCGCAGACATAATTAGTGTGGCGAAAGGCCTGACTCTACGCAGCTGCTTGTACCGCTGGGGATGTCCCTCGCCGTCTTTATGACGCACCGCACGATGTATGGAGAGCGGGTCCTCATAGGGGCACAAGCGTGTGAGGTGTGTCTGTGTGTGTGTGCGTGTGTGTGTGTGTGTGCGTGTGTGTGTATGTGTATACGTACATATATATACACACATATAAATATAGATATGTATGCATGCATGCATGCATGTATGTATGCATGCATGTATGTATGTATCTATGTATGCATGTATGTATGTATGAATGCATGCATGTATGGATGTATGTATGCATGTGTTGTTGTGTAGGGTTACACGTATGCATGCATGTATACATGCATGTATGTATACATGTGTTACGTATGTATGTATGTATATGTGCATGTACGCATGTATGGATGTATGTGTGTATGTAGGTACGTATGTATGTATACATGCATGCATGCATGTTTGTATGTATGTATGTAGGTATGTATGTATGCATGCATGCATGTATGTATGTATGTGTGTATGCATCTATGTGCGATTGTGTGTATGTATGCATACATGCATGTATGTATGCATGCATGTAACTGTGTATGAATGTATGCATGCATGCATGTATGTGTGTATGTATGTATGTGTCTATGTATATGTGTGTATATGTATGTATGTATGCATGTATGTATACACGCACGCATGCATGCATGCATGCATGTATGTACGTATGTATGCATGTGTGTATGTATGTATGTATGTATGTATGTGGGTATGTATGTATGTATGTATGTATGTATGTATGCATGCATGCATGCATGTATGTATGTATGTATGTATGTAAGTATGTATATATGTATAAATGTATGTATGTATGTACGTATGTGTGTATGTATGTATGCATGTATGTATGTATGTATGTATGTATGTGTGTATGTGTATATGTGTGCATGTGTGTATGTGTGTGTATGTGTGTATGCGTGTATGTGTGTATATGTGTATGTGTGCATGCGCATGCGTGTGTGTATGTATGTGTGTGTGCTTGTGTACGCGTATGTGCATGTGTATGTGTATGTATATGTATGTGTGTGTGCGTGGTGCGTTCGTGTGTGTGTGTGCGTGCGTGCGTGCGTGCGTGCGTGCGCGTGCGTGCGTGCGTGCGCGTGCGTGCGTGCGTGCGTGCGTGCGTACGCGCGCGCGCGTGTGTGTGTGCATTGGTGTGTGTGGGTGCCATGGATTTCGACGCGTCTCTTCACGCGCGATCACGGCGCCAAAAAGTGTGCCGAAATGGCCGCGGTGCGGCATACAGCCACACCCATTAAGGCCTTAGGCGGAGCTCGCGTACAAGAAATCGGCGGGGGGCGGCATACACCCGCACCCATCGAGGCTGTAGGTGGAGCTCCCCATGGGGGCACGACACGTGTGCGGGGTGTGCCCAAACGGGCGCGGGCCACACGCATTGAGGCCGTAGGTGAAATCCATGACTGGGTTATGAAACGTGTGATTGGTCTGCCGAGAAGGACATTCGGATAGTAGGTGTGGGGAGAGGAACAGGAGGAGGAGGCGGAGGAGGAGGAGGAGGAAAGAGGAGGCGAGAGGAGGAGGAGGCGGGAGGAGGAGGAGGAGGAAGAGAAGGTGGAGCGCGGCGCTGCGGATTCAAAACGAGGACCCAACAACAGCAAGGTGGAGAACTGTTGGGCAGATGGGCCGGCCCAAGCGCGGCACGCGGACTGAGTGCGGACGGAGTCTGGCCGGCACCCGGCAGGTGGTCAAGCTCGTGGTGGGCTCCCGCGAGGCGCGGTGCAGAGGGAAGGCCAGGGACGGAGGTCGAAGCGGATTGTCGCAGGGGGGATGGGGAGAGGCGTCAGGCAACGTTAGATGGGGGATAGGCCCAGGAGGGCACGCATCGACCCCACTCGCCGCTCCAATTTGATCGCCAGCAGGGGCCTGATAGCCCACCCCGCTCAGGAACGTGCGGTTCCGCCATCGGGGCCCATCGCCCATCTATCGGTGATGCATCGCCGATTCAAATTCGATGTTTACCCCCATGAGCTGGTGACTCCCCTAACGTTGCCCCTCGGGGGAGGAGGGGGGGGGGAAGGGCGGGGGGATGCGGCGAACGGGGAGGGGCCTGGGAGGAGGTGGAGGGGAGTGGGTGTCGGGGGGGAGCGGGGCAAGCTGGCGGGCTTTCGATGGCGAAGATTTTTCGCCGGGAGGGGAAGGGGCAGAGCTCCTCCGACCACGCTGCTGGATCTTGGGGTGCAGGCGCGCGCGCGTCGTCCAGTCATGCTCTGTGCGTAGTGCGTGCGCTTCCATTTCGCTTCGCTCTCACGCGTTCCACTTCTGCCGTCGGTCACACGTCCGCGACCCCCTCCGTCGTCGCGGCGGCTGCGGATCTGGCTAAAAGCGTTGGTCGGACTGGCGTCGTGGAGGGCTTTCGGCACCTGGCCGATATTGAGGGGGCGCGATCTGGCTGGACCGCCCCTCCCATCTCCCATATCTCTCTCTCTCTCTCGCTCTTGGCTCTCTGGTGTGCGAGAGGGTGACAAGGGACTGCCTCGAAGTCCGCTCCGCTTGCCTGGGCACACGACCCGCCGTGTCCCTCACCTCACTCGCACTGCCCCAGCGAGTCTCTCCTTCCTTCTCCCCTCGTCCCCCCCCTCCTCCCCGCCATCATCCCCTTTCCTGCACACGCAATCGCTGACACGAGACCACCACGGTGTACAAGCTCTGAGGCGCTGAGGCGCGCGCCGCCTATCCATCGGGCTGCCTCGGCCGACAGAGCGCGCTGTCCCGCCCCGTCCCGTCCCATCCGCATCCTCCTACTCCTGTTCCGCCGTCCACGCCCCCCCCCCTCCCACTCTTTTCGTGATCGGGATTGTGTGCGCTCCAGAGGAGCCGCTGTCCTTCTTGGTGTCCACCACGACCGTGAAGGAGGCAGTCGGGAAAGGGAAGATTGATTCAGGGTTTTAGTTTGAAAGCGGAAGGATCGATTGGCGTAGTAGGCGTTGGGTCCACAGCAGGCTTTGTCATGTTAGAACTTACGTATGATTGAAAGTCGTCGTGGTACCTGTATTCAATTTGCGGATCTATTTCAAGGCGTTCGAAGTATCAGTTTCTTCTGTATAAGTTGAATGTGTCAAGGGCCTTGGCATCGCTCGGGCGTGTGCGTTTGATCTCAGCGAGGGGCAAATCTTGCTAACAGGAAGCGCACGAAACAGAACAATGCACGGGAAATGGATGCCCGAGCGATGTCAAGGGGTCCACTTGGCCGTAGCGTAAGTATGAACGTCTTCGCGGTGATTCATGTGCAGCCTGGGCAGATAGTCGGTCCTCAGGATATGGCGGTCGGTTCTGGGCGAAGCGAGCGAGGGGACGTAAGGGACACGGGCAAGACGCAGGTTGCAGAGGGGCGGGCTCATGCCACCAATTGTGGGGGTATCTGCCGTAAACAATCACTGTCCTTGCTGTCTTGCCAGTTCCACGCCATGCAAACACTGAGATAATATAGTTTTCGCTGGCTGGATCCACTGACCTATGCCCCCCTGGGTTCTCGAGGACCTCTTCCCCCAAAGCAGCACAATACAACGCAGACTAAAACAGTAGAACGCAACGCATCGCAACGTCAACCAGTTCAGAGTATAGGACAGATCAGCAACTCAATGCAGACCGTGGCAAAACATGCAAAACAATGGAAGCAAACCCGTTCCAGTACACCAGATGTACAATGGAATAATGAGCTGCTTCATGCATCGCACTGCGCAGGAAAGCGATTCATCCCAAATCAGCGTATATCAGAGCAGCGTTGGATCACGTAATGTGTTGTGCCCTCTGTGCCCCCAGGGTGGGAGTGCCGCGCCGCCGGATCCCCGGGCGGTTTCGGGTCCCCTGGGAGGCTCCCCCAGAGCGGGGAGCAAAGGAGAGATTCTCCAGCTGCCTGCGGCAAGTCCCGCCACCGTGCCAGCCCAGCACTCTGGGTGGATTCCTGTTCGAGGAGCGCACAGGAAGCCGTCACGTCTGACACATCGTGTCCCGAGGCTTGGGCGAGCCGTCAACTGTGACGCGCTCTTCCGTTTCGTGTCGGGGTGTCTCTCCTCGAGTTCTTCGTCGTCGTCGTCGTCCCGTACGCACACCGTACACGCACCCCGCCCGCCCGCCAGGCTCACGGCCCGTACGCACACCGTGCACCCCCTCCCCCCGCCCCCTTGGCACACGCCCTGTACACGCCCGCGGACGCACGCGCACACACGCACACACAGGCACACACAGGCACACACACACACACACACACACACACACACATTGGCTCAAGATTTTGCATGCCCCCCGCCTCGACCGTCCCGATGGCCGTGCGTGGGGCTAGAGGGGCTTGCGCGCCGCTTGCTGCCGCCGCTTCGCTGGTTTAGGCGGCGGTCCGCGGGGCGGCGGTGGCGAAAGCACCCCGCAGGCGGTTGCGGCGGTGGCGCGCGCGGCGGTATCAGCTAGCCTCTTCAGGCTGACCGAGGCGCCCGTGCCACCTGCCGCGACGCCTGCCGTGGTGCCTGCTCCCGATGGCGCGCCTGGCGCGCCGCCTGCCGCCGCGGCACGGGAGGCGCGTCGGCGCAGGCGCCGACGTCAGGCCGAGCGTCGTCGCGCTGCTGGGGCCCCTGCTGCTGCGGCGGCGGGCGGTACGGCCGGCGGCGACGCGACGACGGCGGTTCGGCGGAAACCGCCACGGGCGAGCTGGCGGCGGGGGGCTCCCCTGCCGCCGCGGCTCCCCTGCCGCCGCGGCAGCTGGCGCAGCGGGTGCTGTGGAGGCCGTGCGCGCGGGCATGGGGCTCGTGATGGCGGTAGAGCGTCGCCTGCGGCGCCAGGCATCGCGGCATCGGACCTCGGGTCCGACCTGGACAACTGGGCGGGCGGCCTCACCTCCCGCCGGCGGCGGAGGTGGGGGCGGCGGCAGCCGTGCGTGGGCGGTGGCCCCGCGGCTGCCTCGGCGTCGGCGGCGGCGGAGCTGGTGGCGGCTCGGCGGCGACGCTCGACGATGTCCAGGCGCTCGCGGTGAGTTTGGTCGAGCAGTCGGTCGGAGCGACGCCGTGGCACTCTGCGAAGGTGCGGCGCATGCTGGAGGCGTTGCGGCCCGCTGGGTCACCGCCAAGTCGGCGTGAGGCTTCGGCCAAGTCGGAGTGAGGTGAGCGTTCCAAGGGGAGTTCGCGGCGCGGCGGCGCGGGGCGCTGCGCCCGTTCGCCGCCATCACCGTCGCCGCCTTCGCCTGCGACGTCGTCGTGGTGCTGGAGGGCGGCCCATCGGGTACGGTACTGGACTCGGTGGTGTGGTGGCCTCGGAGCTGCTGCGCGTACAGCTTGGCTGCGCACGTCCACTCACAACAAAACACTCAGGCACACACGCACGCACATGCACATGCACATACGCACCCGCAAGCACCGGTCACGCGCAACACCTGACCAAAGCAACCGCAGACAGCCACTAAACACGAGCTACCAACGGCGACCATCTGGGCATGTAGGGGGGCCCAGCGACTGCATCCACGTGCACGCACGCGCGCGTGCGCACGCAAGCGAATCCATGCACGCACGCGCGTTGGTTGCAAATCCCTGCGCGCGTGCGCACGCAAGCGAAGCGGCGCTTCCCGTTCTTATCCGGAATGGTTCCGCCAAAACGGCTGTTTCGTTCGAGATATCCTCGAACAAATGAGATACTATTCAAGGACGCGGGTCAAGACGCTTTATGTTAATCATGAGACTTCCTTTCGAGACATCCTCCGAACAATGAGATATCCAGGGATCTTGCAAATTCAGCGATGTTTTAAAGCATGAGTCTTTCGCTCGATACATCCTCGAAGCCATGGAATGATGGACGACGTGATTCAAGACGTCTTCTGTTCAAACTGGGAGTCTCGCTCGAGACATGCCCAAAACACGAGGACGAGAAGGAGGAGGAGGAGGAAGAGAAGGAGGAGGAGAAGGAACAGCGCATGAATGTCCATATATAAGGATTCACCACGGAAACACTACACCATTCACACGAAACACAAAGCGTACGCACACCCTGCGCCTTTCCCGCCCGCGCGCCAGGCACACACTCCGTACGCACACCGTGCACCCCCCCCCCGCCCGCCCACCAGGCACACGCCCCGTACGCACCCCGTGCACCCTCGCCCCCGGCCCCCCTGGCACACACCCTGTACACGCCCGCGCACACACGCGCACACACCCACACTGCCGCACACACAGGCACATTCAGGCACACACACACACACGCACACACATGCACATGCACATACACAAAAGCATAGACCACGCGCAACACCTGACCAAAGCAACCGCAGGCAACCACTAAACACGAGCTACCAACGGCGACCATCTGGGTATGTAGGGGAGCCCAGCGACTGCATCGATGTGCACGCACGCGCGTTGGTTGCAAATCCGTGCGCGCGTGCGCACGCAAGCGAAGCGGCGCTTCCCGTTCTTATCTGGAAAGGTTTTTGAAAAACGGCCGTTTCGTGCGAGATATCCTAAAAAAATCAGCCCCGGAGGGAGCTCCGAATCGACATCGTCTTGGAATCGCTCCCGGAGGGCTTTCGAGCGGCCCAGAGGAGGCCCAAAAGACGCCCCGGAGGGCCCCAAGAGCGCCCAAGAGCGCCCAAAGAGGAGCCCAAGAGACCACCAAGAGCGCTCCAGGAGGCACCCAGACAGCTCACAAGAACCCCAAGGCGGCCCAAGAAGGGCCACGAAATCCCCAAGAGACTCCCGGGAGCGCCCCGCGAGGCCCCCAAACGGCCCAAGAAGGCCCCAAGACGGCCCAAGATGGTTCCGAGACGGCCCCAAAAAGCTCCCAAAGAACCCTCCGACGCGCCCAGACAGCCCATGAAGACCCCAGAAACCCACAACAGGACCCAAGAGGCCCTCAAGAAGCCCCCAACAGGCTCCAAGACAACCCCGCGCGGCCCCCAGGGTAGCCCGATAGGGTCACCAGGATCCTCTCCTGATTTAAAGTCCCTCTCCAATTGCCTCTTCCTGTCCTCCGTCGTCGTCGTCATCGCCCTCCGAATTTTTCCTCGTACTCGCCCTCGTTCTCTTCGTCCTCGTCCTTGTGCTTCTCTTCCTCCTCGTTGTCCTCATGCTCCTGCTCGCTATCCCCACGTTCTCCACATCGTCCTCGTCATCGCCTCCTCGCCGCCCTCGCCTTCCCTTCCTTTTCTGATTCTTCTTCGCCCAATACGCCCATTAAACTAAAACGGCGCTTCCCGTTCTTGTCCGATCAGATTACGGCCTCGCGGTGAACTCGACTGCACTTCCCCCGGCACACGCCCCCCGGGCAGCCGCTTGCTCGCTTGCTCGTGCGAGCAAGCGAGCAAGCGAACGCCAGGCCATGCATTCAATGTCCCGTTCCACTCGCTCGCTCGCTAGCTTGGTCCATCGGGCGAGCATCATGCACTCAATGACCCGCCCGCCAGAACCGACCTGCCCGACTCGCTCGCTCGCATGGTCGAGGGAGCGACCGAGCGAGAGGCTGGCCCGCTCGCCCGCTCGCTCGCCCCCCCCCCTCCCATGCTCGCTCGTCCCCCCGCTCGCTCGCTCAAGCGAGCGAGCGAGAGAGGGGCAGGAGGAAGTCCTCTCGCTCGCTCGCTCGCTCGACCCTCCCTCCCGCGCTTTTTCGCCGCCCCGCCCGCGCGCTTGCTCGAACGAGCGAGGGAACGAGGTGGCCTCTCGCTCGTTCGATCGCTCGCCCCTCCGCTCGCTCGCTCGCCCCCAACCCCGCCCCCCCCTCCCATGCTCGCTCGGCCCCCCGCTGGCTCGCTCACTCATCCCCCCCCTCTGGCTTGCTCGCTCGCGCGAGCGAGCGAGCTAGAGAGAACTTTGGCGTACTTACTCGTTTCGAGTGGCGATTCTCCATGGTACCAGCAGGGGGGAACCAGCAGTGCTACACATGAGAAGCTGCCCTCCCAGCAGGTTCCATTCAAAGTGTTTTCGGCTGCAAGACGTGCGGTGACTCGGGACTCCAGTGCCTGCTTGAAGACGTGCCGCTTGCTCCCCTTCGCGCGACAGCACTGGCAATCGGTGCCCTCCCGGCCAAGGTGATCATCACGCCCGCCACCTGTGCCGCGTTCCTAGCTGGGCTTTGTCCCCCAGTCGCAGATATGAGGGGGGAAGGCGGTGAGAGAGTCAGAAAGAAAGTGAGGGGCGTGAGTGGGAGGGAGGAAGATGGAGGTGAGCAGAGGGGAGAGATGCGCGGGGGCTAAGATGTACGTTCATGGGCTGGCAGGGGGGGACCTGGTCGGACCTGATCGTCATAATTCGGATTCCCATCGCGAGATGGGTCGTCGACTTTATCAGGGCTGGCCGAACAGTTGGAATATTGAGGCAGGTATTGTTGGAACACGCACAGGAGAGACTTTTACCTAGTATTTGCTGGGTGTCTGGGATGTTGCCAGTCCCTGTCCAGTTTTGTGAAATTCCTATACGCTTCCCCTGGAAACGTCTTCTTGAGCCTCCCTGTTGAATCTGGGAGAACTTCTCGGAATAGCTTCGAGCCCTGGAGGTAGGTTATGGCGCCTTTGGTGCAATAATTCCGTCAAGTCCCTACTCGAGCCCCGAGCAGAAGGAGTAGCGAGAGTGGTTGTGAGTCACCCCCCCTGCGTTTTGGAGCCGCCCTTGTGGCGAAAAGGCCGGCCGAAAGTCGAGCCATGCTAGTGGACTGCGTGGTGCCCCAGTCGTTGCGGGAACACTCGGGAAGGGTCCTCTGGGGCGGCCTTGGGGCTGGTTTGGGGCTCTTGTCGGGCCTTCGAGGGCATTCTTGGTGGCCTCCTGGTGCCCTCTTGGGCCGTCTTGTGGCTTTGGGGGGCCGTCGAAAGGCGCTCTTGGCCCGTCTGGCGCCTTCCGAGGCTGTTCTGTGCCGCCTTGGGGTTCTCGTTGGGCCCTTCAGGGCAGTCTGTGGGCTGTTTGGGGGATCTGGTGGGTCGTCGTGGGGCCCGCTTGGGCTGTCTTGGGAACCTTCTGGACCATCTCGGGGTGATCTTTGAGGACGTCTTGGATGCTCTTAAGACCGGAACTGGAGACATATGGAACACATGGCAGAACCACACGAAAATCATGATGTGTATTTCTTGAAGCCTTCCAGGGCGGACCTTAAAGCTTTCTTCGGGCGTGTTGGGGCCATCTGGGGCCCTGTTGGTGGCATTGTGAGCCTACTTAAAGGCCACTTTGGTTATCTTTGGCCGAGTGGGTGGCGACCTCAACCTTTTGGGAAACGCCCAGAAAGTGCACGGAATGTACGCATCATCCCACAATTTCGGATCAGAGTGAGGGGGCGGGCGCGGGGTAGGTCGCGGGTGGGTCGCGGGCGGATCGCGAGCGGGTCGCGTGTGGGTCGCGGGTGTGTCGCGGGTGGGTCGCGGGTTGGTCGCGGGCGGGTCACGGGCAGGTCACGGGTGGGTCGCGGGCGGGTCGCGAGTGGGTCGCGGGCCGGCTCGCGAGTGGGATGACGACAACAGCAACGACAACAACAACAACAACAACAACAGCAACAACAACAACAACAACAACAACAACAATCATTTTAAGACTGTTCACCCTTATCTGCTCGAGTGTCCAATAACGCGTATTTCCCAAACACTCGATACCAGCCCTCTTCGTCTTCGATCGAACCCATTTTGTGGGGTATACCTTTCTTCCCTGCAGGCCGGGCCCCGGCAAGCGGCGGGGCGGCCGCGGACCGTCGGCCTGGCCAGCGGCAGCGCTGATCGGCGGGGCGGCCGCGGACCGTCGACCCGCCCCCAAGAGGGACGGACAGGTGACCGACCACGACGACGACGTCGACGACGACGAAAGCGACGGCGACGACGACGACGGCGACGAGCGAAAGCGGAAGCGAGAGCGAGAGAGAGCGACAGCAGGGCCACGAAGGACACGAAGTAGGCAACGAAGGGCGACAGCGGGGACACGAAGGGAATGCGTATGGGGCCACGAAGAGCGCGAACGAGCGGAGGCCACGAAGGGCAGATAATGCCGGGCCACAGAAGGCAACGATGGGGCCATTGAGGGTAGCAACTGGGCCACGTAGGAAAACGTGGTTGATGCCTATACGTGGTGGGGCGCAGAGAAAAGGAAAAGAACAAGGAGAGAGCAGCAAGCAGCATTGGCAGCCGCTTCGGTCTCCACGACAGACTACTGCCACAGGCGCACGAAAAGGGAAGCAGGTCTTGAAAAAAGGGGGAAGGAAAAGATGATACCTTCGTCCGTGTGTAGGGCACTGTCAAAGACGAGCCGCGGCTGCGCCGCAGCACACGAGCGGTATTGTTTTTGAAAGACACGGCACACCTTCCCGCATAGACCCTTTCCCCTTTAAAGGAAACCTAACCTGAGCAGCAGTCGGAGGTGAGTGGAGGGAACGGGGACAATCCTAGGTCGGCGCAGTTGGGGGGCCACAAACGGCGACATCGGGGCCACGAAAGGCATGCACATGGGGCCACAACCGTCGCGACTCCTGGGTGCCTGGGTGTCGGGAGCGCGGCGCTTGAGCAAATTGCAGGAAATTCCAACGCAAGGGCGCTATTCTTCAGCAAATTGCAAGCAAGTCTCTAGCGAGAGCGCGACTCCAGAGCGCCGGAAAAGCGATTCTTGCATAAATTGTAAGGAAGTCCCAAGCGAAAGCGCGATTCCTGAATACAATGCGAGGAAATCTTTGGCGGGAGCGGGGTTCCTAGCTAAATTGTAAAGAAGTCTCAGGCGGGAGCCGTTGTTGTTGTAACCCGGGGGCCAGGGGCACAGTTTGAGCATCAAGACTTTCCCTATCAAAAAACAGGGCGCGAACGTCGAAGGGCACATTTTGATCGAGAAAACAGTACGCCCCGGTGGGGGGAATCAGCAATAATTATTCTTGATAAATGAGAGTCCAACACTCGTTTTAAGACTAATCGCTCCTATCTGCTCACGTGCTAACCAACACGTATATCCCAAACCTTCGGTACCTGCCTTCGTCGTCTTCGATCGTACCACCTTGGGGGTATATCTTCCTTACCTGCCGCGCGTATTTAGTGCAGCCCCTAACACAAGGGAAGAGAGGACGGGTGGAATGGGGAGGGGGAGTATTGGAACACGAAAGAAATTAACAGGAGGGGGGCAAGGAGCAGAAAACAAGTGGTATAACCAGACGGGCAGATCGGGTGGGCAGACCCAGACAGGGCAGGTCGGGAAGGCGGGCCCAGGCGACGAGGTCGAGCAGGCGGATTGCTGAAGCGTGGGTCCTGCAAGAATCGCGAGGAAGTCTCGGGCGATAGCGCGATTCCTAATTCAGTTATTCGTGAGAAAAGCCAGCGTGGGCCACGAAGGGCATCACATCCGAGGCCACAGAAGGCAGCGACGGGGCCGCTGAGGGCAGCAAAGGGGCCATGAGGGCAGCAAAGGGGCCACAAAGGGCGACAGCGAGGCCACGAAAGGCATGCATATGGGGCCACGACGGGCGCGAGCGAGCGGGGGCCACGAAGGGCATTCGTATACGTGGCCACAAAGGGCGACAGCGGTGCCACTGAGGGCAACAAAGGGGCCACGAAGGGCAGCGAGGGGCCCACGAAGGGCGACAGCGGGGCTACGAAGGGCATGCGTATGGGGCCACGACGGGCGTGTGCGAGCGGGGGCCACGAAGGGCATATAATGCGGGGCCACGAAGGGCAGCGACAGAGCCACTGAGGGCAGCAAAGGGGCCACGAAGGGCAGCGAGCGAAGGCGACCGCGGAACCAGTACGGGCAGCGAGGGGCATCGAAGGCGGGCGAAGGGCAGCGAGCGGCGACTGCAGTCATTAATGGGCTGGTCGGGCGGGCGGGCCCCGACGGGCGGGTCGAGCGGGCGGGTCGTTGAAGCGTGAGTGTTGTTTGAACTGCCAGGCAATATGTAGCGGGAGCGCGATTCCTGAGCGGCGAGGACCGGTACTGTGAGGAAATATCAGCGAAGCGGTTCGGTGGTAAGTTGCGAGGAAGTCCCACGCGAGATCACGAATCTGCAATACATTGTCAAGAAGTATCCAGCGGGAGCCGCGATGCTGTGGTACATGTCCAGGAAGTCCCAAGCGAGATCGCGATTAATCAAGAAATGTGAGGACGTATCAGGCGGGAACCGCTGTTGGTGTAAACCGGGGGCCAACGACACAGTTTGAGCCTCAAGGCTTTCCCTGATAACAAACAAGGTGCGAGCCCTGGGGGGCACTTCGATCGAAAAAGACCATATGCACTGGGCGGGGGGATCCACAATAATTATTCTTCAGAAGTGAGAGTTTAACATCAACAACAATCAAGACTGTTCGCTCTTTTATGCTCGAGTGTCCGTTAGCGCGTGTTGCCCAAACCCTCGATACCCGCCCTCTTATTGTTCGATCGTGTCCCTTTTGGGGGGTGTACTTTTCTTCCCTGCAGGCCGGGCCCCGGCAAGCGGAGGTGCGGCTGCGGACCGTCGGCCTGGCCAGCGGCAGCGCTGATCGGCGGCAACCCGACCCCAAGAGGGACGGACAGGGGACCGACCACGACGACGACGACGTCGACGACGACGCAAGCTACGACGACGACGACGGCGACGAGCGAAAGCGGAAGCGAGAGAGAGAACGACAGCAGGGCCACGAAGGGCACGAAGTAGGCCACGCAGGGCGACAGCGGGGACACGAAGGGAATAGTATGGGGCCACGAAGAGCGCAAACGAGCGGGGGCCACGAATGACAGATAGTGCGGGGCCACAGAAGGCAGCGACGGGGCCAATGAAGGTAGCAGCTGGGCCACGTAGGACAGCAAGGGGCCGCAAAGGGCGACGGCGGGGCCGCGAAGGGCATGCACATGGGGCCACGGCGGGCGCGAATGAGCTGGGGCCACAAAGGGCATGTGTATACTGGGCCGCGGCGGCCGCGGAGGGCAAGGACGGAGCGACTGAGGGCAGCACGGGGCCACGAAGGGCAGCGAGGGGGCCACGAAGGGCGACGGCGGGGCCACGAAGGAAACGCGTATGGGGCCACGATGGGCGCGAACGAGCGGGTGCCACGAAGGGCATGCATACATGGGGCCACAAAAGGCAGCGAGGGGCCACGAAGGGCAGCGAAGGGGCCACGAATGGCAGCGAGGGGGCCACGAAGGGCTGCAACGGGGCCACGAAAGGCTGCAACGGGGCCACGAAGGGCCACGAAGGGCAGCGAGGGGGCCGCGAAGGGGCTGCAACGGGGCCACGAAGGGCAGCGAGGGGGCCACGAGGGGCTGCAACGGGGCCACGAAGGGCAGCGAGGGGGCCACGAAGGGCTGCAACGGGGCCACGAAGGGCAGCCAGGGCGCCACGATGGGCTGCAACGGGGCCACGAAGGGCAGTGCTACGGGGCCACGAAGGGCAGCGAGGGGGCCACGAAGGGCTGCAACGGGAAGGGCTGCAACGACGAGGGCAGCGAGGGGGCCACGAAGGGCTGCAACGGGGCCACGAAGGGCAGCCAGGGGGCGACGAAAGGGCGCAACGGGGCCACGAAGGGCAGCGAGGGGGCCACAAATGGCTGCAACGGGGCCACGAAGGGCAGGGACCTAAGTCATTTGTGAGGGAGTCCTAAGCGTGAGCGCGACTCCTGAGTGCCTGAGTGTCGGGAGCGCGGCGTTTCAGTAAATTGAATGTAATTCCAACACAAAGGCGTTATTTTGGCATAAATTGCAAGCAGGTCTCCAGCGAGAGCGCGACCCCAGAGCGCCGAGAAGGCTGGGCCAAGAGGGGAGGTTGGGTCCAGGGACAGGGCCAGCGGGGCGAGGGGGGCTGGGGCAACGACCAGGGGGGTAGACTGAGTCCAGTGCCAGGACCAAGGGGGCGAGGGCGGCTGGGGCCAGGTCAGGGAGGGAGGCTGGCTCCAGGGCCAGGACCAGGACCAGAGGGCCACGACGAACGAGAATAAAGGGTCCAGCGCGAGGGGGGTTGGATCCAAGGCCAAGACCAGGGGAACGACGACGAGCGAAAATGAAGGGTCCAGGGAAAGGGGGGCTGGGGCCAGGGCCAGGGGAGGACTCTGGGTCCAAGGATAGGACCAGGGTGGCGACGACGAAGGGGTCTGGGTCGAGGACCAGTGTGAAGGCTGGGTCGAGGGCCAGGACCAGGGGGACGACGAGAAACGAAAATCACAGGTTCGGGGCGAGGGGGGCTGGGGCCAGGGCCAGGTGAGGAGGCTGGGTCTGGGGCCAGGTGCCGTGCCGAAATAAATCGGTCGGGGCGGAGGGGGCGCGTTTGCTGGTGGGGCCGGCGCCGTGCCAAAGTCAAGCTGTCGGAGCAGGGGGGGGGCGCTGGCTGGTGTGACCGGCTCCGAGGGGGCGCTCTGGCTGGCGGGCTGGCTGCGCTGGCTGGCGGGGAGAGGATGCGGAGGGCCGGGGGGGCCGCTTCGGCATGGCTGCTTTAGACAGCGCATGCGGAGGGGGCGCGCTGTGAGGCGCTGGCCGAGGGGCTACATCGACCGGTGCCGTGCCGGAATAAACTCGTCGGAGCTCTTAGACACCCTGTGCAAGATAATAAATGAGTCGGGGCGGAGGGTGCGCGCTGGCTGGTGTTTGGGGGTGATGCGGAGGGGGCGCGCGGGATGGGGGAGGAGGGTGCCGTGCCGAAATGAAAGGGTCGGGGCGGAGGGGCGCGCTTGCTGGTGGGGGGATGCGGAGGAGACGCGTGAGATGGGGGGGGGCCGTGCCGAAATAAAACGGTCGGGGAGGAGGGCCCGTGCAAAATCCTCTGGTGGTTCTCTTTTGGGTGCCACGAAAATCCATGCATGCTACATCGCGATGGCCATGGGGCACTGTGTAAGAACGAGTACGGGGTGTGAGTGGTGCGTCGCCCCGAAGAGGCCTCCAACCGGGCTGCGCGAGACTTCCAGGGAGACTCCAGTATACGTCTGCGTGGCACCCCGCAGTTGCGGATGAGAGTGAGCGGGCGGCGGGGAGGTCAGCAGTTTGCGAGGCTCTGACAAAAAACGTACACACCGCAGGCGCCTAATATTTACAAATTATACAACGAGCTCGCCGCAGGCGCCGCTTTTGTGTCAAAGCAATGTGGGTGGGTCGCGGGGTGGATCGCGGGTGGGTCGCGGGTGGGTCGCGGGTGGGTCGCGGGATGGATCGCGGGTGGGTCCCGGGATGGATCGCGGGTGGGTCGCGGGTGGGTCGCGGTTGGGTCGCGGGGTGGGTCGCGGGCGGGTCGCAGGGTGGGTCGCGGGCCTGGTCGCGGGGGGGACGACTACAAGCAACAACCAACAACAAGAGCAACCAACAACAGTCACAACAACAACAGCAACAACAGCAGCAACAGCAACAACAGCAACAACAGCACAAACAACAACAACATCTACAACAACAACACAATCAACAACAACAACAACAACAACAACAACAACAACAACAACAACAACAACAACAGTGATAACAACAACAACACCAACAACGGCAACAACAACAACAACAGCAACTGCAACAACAACACCAACAACAACAGCAGCAACAACAACAACAATCCGCACCGCAGGACCTCACTTCAGCAACGCGCCCAAGGATTGTGAATGACCGTTCGGTCCCCTCACTCTGATGAGGCCTCAAGTCCTCAACCCAGGCATGTTCCTCTGATCGACCTCAGACCGCCGTCAACACGGCCTGGCCTAATGGCTGCCTGCCTGGCTCCATTCCCCTGCCCATCCGCGGGGCCGCTTGAAGGCCGAGCTCGGCCTCCCCATCTCGCGCGAAGTGGTCCTCAAGGACCGCTCACAAGCACGCTGCTTGCTTGGCCGTGTCAGCCACATCCAACTTGTCTCCTCGATCCCTCAATCCCCCTCGTTCACTGCCCCTCTCTCTTTCTCTTTCTCTGTATGTCGTTCGCTTTTTTTGTTTCTCTCTCTCTCTCTCTCAGGCGCTCTCACTCTCTCTTTGTTCCTTTAGTTTTGTTAGTTTTGTTTCTTTATTCCCTACCTAGGCTCTGCCTAGAAGGGTTCTTACTCTGTTTGCTTAAAAGGCCGGGCAGTGGGGCACGCCCCGGGCGGTCCCCCAGGCATCCGCCCCACGGTTCCCCTAGTTACGCCCCTTTAGCTTAGCGTCGCTGATCTCATCTTATCTTAGCTCATTTCAATGTTGCTCAGCTTAGCTTCATCTTAGCTCAGGTTTGTCTCAGCTCAGCTTACCTTCATCTTAGCGTCGCTGAGCTTGAGCAGCATAGCATAGCATAGCGTAGCATAGCATAGCGCAGCATACCATACCATAGCATAGCCCAGCATAGCATAGCATAGCGCAGCATAGCATAGCATAACATAACATAGCCAATCATATCATAGCATAGCATAGCGCAGCATAGCATAGCATAGCGCAGCATAGCATATCATAGCATAGCATAGCATAGCATATCATACCATATCATATCATAGCGCAGCTTAGCATAGCATATCATCGCATATCATAGCTTAGCATAGCACAACGCAGTATGCCATAACATAGCTTAACATAGCATATCATAGCATAGCATACCATAGCGCAGCATATCATATCATAGCACATCATAACATAGCATAGCATAGCATAGCGCATCATAGCATGGCATAGCATAGCATAGCATAGCATAGCATAGCATAGCATAGCATAGCATAGCAACTAATGCTGCTTTCCTAGGGGCTGCAACTTCTAGGTAGGGTCGCACTGGGGTAAGTTCTCTCTCTCTCTCTCTTTCCCTCGTGGCAAATCGCGCCACCGTGCCAGCACAGCACTCTGTGTGGCGACGCGGCGCTTCAAGCACCGCCCAGATGTCCGCAAATTGTGACCTGTGTCGTGCCTATTTCTCGAGATGTCCCATAGGCGTGCTTTGGGAGCCTTCTTGGGGTCCACTTCGAGCCCTCTTGGGACCCTCTTGGCAGTCCTCGGGCGGCTCTCTTGGGCAGTCGGTAGTGGCTGGGTGGCTCTTTGGGTGGTATTGTACCCTTCTCGGCCGTCTGAAGCGTCTTTTGGGGCTTCAGTGGGGGGCATCGTTCGCCATCTTGGGGCCCTTGGGCTGCCTTGGGCCGCCTGGGGGGGCTCCTGGAGGTCGTGAAATGGACAGAGACCGCACCCCCTGCGCAATCCACATGGCGGCGAGTGCCACGCCCTGGACAGTGAAACGAGTAGAAACTGCACGCCTTGCGCCCCCCCATGTGGTCGCGTGGGAGTGCCTCCATTGCGACGACTTGCCTTGAATTGGATGGATACCATACCCCATGCGCAACCCCCCTGGTGCACAGGGAAGTGATATCCGCGCCACGCCCTGGACGGTGAAACGGGTAGGGGCCGCACCACTTGCACACCCTGATGGTGGCGAGGAAGTGCCACCATGCGCCGCCCCTGCCATGCCCTGGATTCTGAAACGGGTGGAGACAGCATCCTTTGCACACCCCGCATGGTGGAGGCGCAAGGAGACTGGCGCCCCGTGCGCACGCCCTCTGGTGGCGAGGAAGTGCCACCCCTTATCACGCCCTGGAGATTGAAACGGAAAAAGGCCGCACCTCCTGCGCACTCCACATGGTGGTGAGGAAGTACCACCCCTGCAACGCCTTGAACGGCGAAACGAATAGTCAATGATGCTGTACCCCCCCCCGTTGGGATTGACGCGACGGGCCTCGCCGCAGCGGAGTACAGCGACCTTGTCACGGACGTGGCCACCGAAGTAGAGTTCCCCTTCGAGGGGCCTGACTCGGCCTCGTTCCAGGCCGACAAGTCCTCAGAAGGTGAAGACGTTCACCCCATGACGGGAGGAGGCAAGAAGAAGGGTTTGACTGCGCAGTGGCGGCTCGGTAACCACGCTGCCAATTAGGCCGCGTAGTTTTCCGAGCTCGACTCCGTGGTGCGAGATCTGGTTGGGCAGATCCAAGGGGGCGTTTCGACTCCAGTTCCAAGACTTATTACTCATGATTCACAAAATCAGAACCGACGTCGGGACCTTCAACTGCTGGTCAAGATCAAGCGCCTCGTCCGCCCAGAAAGAGGTCCTCGACACGCCCCGAGCCCAGCTCAAGGGCACCTGTACTTCGACTACTACGTCTGCGGCGGCTGCTGGGAACAAGAGTGCGCCACTGCCGGCCCCTTTCAATACCTACAAGTGCATGCCTTCGCCTGAGTACGCAGATGACTTCTGCTTTGGCCTGACGACCCTCTTCGATGGCCTCGGGCCACTTCTTCAGTGCTTGCGTGAGTAAACGTTTCCATTGGTCATGCGCTGAGTTTCTCCAACTGCCAGATTGCATTTGTATATGAACATTGGCGGGCCCCACTTGCTACTCGCCTCGAGGACCTCGGGGAACCCTTTGATCCGGTGGAGGTTGCGACTCGGGCTTAGCATCTCGGCATCTGCGTCGGGCGCGGGGCCGTGGCGGAAGCGCGAAAGGAGAACGCAGTCAAGCTGAGAAAGAGGGCGAGGAATATTCGTGACCTTGGTCTTGGCATGGCACAACCTATTATGCGTTGTTCAAACGTTTTGCGCGCCACTGTTTTTTTTTGCGCTGCAGCTGCACCCGCCATCGCCCGAATTGTCGAAGGCATACCGCTCGAGCGCGCGCCTCCTGTCTGCTGGTCGGAACATAACCCTTTCCTATGATATGCGTTCCAACCTGAAGCTCTATAGCGTGCCGGTGGAGTTCCGCAGGGATAATTTGCTGCAGCTGCTACCCGCGCCTGCTAGATTGCAAGATGCGATGAATATCCCAGGGCCCAGGCCCTTGTCGATAGTAATTTCCAAGATGGCGACTGGCGCGCGGCACGCAAAGTGGCTGGATGGCACCCGCACAGAATTCTGACGCGCTTATTCACCTCCCAAACCTATCTGAGATAATGCAGGTTTCTGATTCAATATGAGAAGCCTGCTGCGCTGAAACAGGCCCTTCGCCCGCGTTATCTTCCCGCAGAACCTCCGTTCGATGCCATCTTTCGTCGGGCCTGCAACTGGCTGTCTTGGGTTTCTCGATTAGAGCTTGCTCGGGGCCTCGACGAGGTTAACGGGGCGCCCGGCGGGCCAGCGCGCACCTCCCTCTGGCGGTCATCCGCATTGTGGCAAGATGTGCCTGCGCCAGTTCCAGGTGTCATTCAACTCTCGTCTCTTAGGGGAGTGGACGGGCGCATGGACTCCGCGGTCGTCTAGTACTCCTGAGGACGCGCCCTGGCTGAGAGGCCTTCTTTTGTTTCGCGGGTTGGGCCCTGGCCAAAGTCTTCCTGCGCGCGTGCTCTGGGATGCTTCTCTCAGCGTGCGCTTGTCCGCCAGATACCCAGATGCTCGCTACCTGGCTCGCCCTCTCAACGCTTTGATGCGCGCGTGCGCGCGCGAGTTCGGGGGCGCCGAGCAGCGCGTCGCGCGCGGTGATACCCCAGTCGCGAGACGTATCCTCGCGGGGCGGGGCGCGCAAAAAGACCCGCGAGATCATGCCTCGCCCGCGGGGGGGAGCACCTGCGCGGCAGACGGCCCGCGCTCGGGGCCAGCAGCACAACGCACAGGCCCCGCCCGCCACCTCGCGCAGGACCCCGGAGAAACGCCGAGCCGCGGTGAAATGGTTCGGAGCCGGGGGGGCCACCGACGCCGCAGCCGCACGCGTCCTCCTCGGCGAGCCGAAACTTGACGGACGATGGGAGGACCAGGCCGGGCCGGCATTCGAAGTCAGCAATTTGGTCGAAATGGATTTGCAGATGGAGCGCCATGCAGGAATCACAGCTGCATGGGGCCGGATATTTCATACAATATGGGTTTCTTTACTTACTCTCCGGCGAGGCAAACTTGGATTCCAGATCCGATGCAGGAGTGGGGCTCGTCATATCACCTCGGGCGCGCCCTGCCGTCGTTGCTTTCAAAGCTATCGGCCCTAGAATGGCTACAGTCAGAATCAAGGTCTTCGGAGGCATCCGGACGCTCATTTCCGCACGCGCCCCCCGCAGCGGACATGGCCCAGAAATGCGACAGACGTTCTACGCAGACATCGCCAAGCACGCAAAGCCAACAACGCCGCGCAGTTCCACTGTCGCTTTGGGAGATTACAATGCTAAGGCATTATGCCGATGAGCGGGTGAAGAGGACACTATTGGAGAACGCGTTCTCCGAGGACCTCCACCAAAACGACCCGCTTCACAGGTGGCGAACCGGCACCTGTTAATGGAGTTACGCGCGGACTGTGACATGGCGGTCGCGAGCGCATTCTTCGAAGGGGAGGGCGCTGACAAGATCACCTACCGGAACTTGGGAGTGCTGCCGATGCAACCGATATCGCCGGAACTCCTCCCTCAAATTGATCACGTTTCATGCCGTCTGTCGATTCTTGCATGCATGAAAGAATGCTGGTCTACCAGAGCAGCTACCCTCAATAGTCATCATTTTCTAACGCGCGCTACGCTGCATATCAAATTCCAACGATCTTCACGGGCCGGCGCGCCTAAGAAGAAGAAGATTGATGTTGGTGCTCTGGCGGGCAAGCATGCCCAGGAGCTTTCCATCGCGACGTTATCCAATTCCGTCGTGGATCTACCTTTGTCCCCTTCCTTGGGCGAAGCGGCGGAACATGTGCAGCAAGCTTTCGATGCCGCAGCTGCTGTTTTCCAAGCGGTGAAATACGACCATGAAAACCATGGGCAAGCACGTTTACTTTGGGACTCATTGCCGAGAGAAACGCCCACCGCAAATCAGGGGACTACAACAACGAGCTCCGCCTACACAGACTCATACGGAAAGCTGGGGAGAAAGATCGCGCGGCCTGGTTGAGAAATTT